ATAGCCTTTTGATGACAGATACTTGCGATAACAGGCAACTTAGTTCAAGTCTAACTTTGCTTAAATATTTTATTTAACCACATTAAAAATGATGACGGTGATAATAATAACAAGAGAGAAATAACGACGATAAAATATACCAGTAACTACAAACCCGTTAATCAATACTCATAATGATACTTAGATCAAGAGTCAAGCACTCACCTGTCCAAGAGAGACGTTGTGGAAGTTCTTGTTATCAAATGTTTTACCGAGCTTTTTGCCTAACGCTTCTACGTCCTTTAAGGGATCGACACCAGGGGAGAGGATGAAGAAGATTGGAGTACTTTGAGAACTTTCCTCGTATGACCGAGCAAACTCCAAGGGAGCATCTTCTACGTATTTATGGCCCAGTTTTTCTTCCACAAAGTTACTGAAAGTTGAAAAAGGAAAAATAAGGCAAACACGAAAATGTATTTTCAGTAGGATATGTTAAAAGGAAGGAAAATGCTCTAAAGATTCTGTCTGGGAAATTAGAACATACACAAAGTAAAAGAGAAAGATAGATGGAAGGAAGGAAGGAAGGAAGGAAGTAAAATAGTGAAAATCATGGTAAAAACAAGGCACAAGAGGAACAGAAAATAAATTAATCATTTCGACATGAAATGACAAGGAAAATGAAAACACATCACACTCCACTTAACTACAAGTGATTTAAGATTAAAGTGCTCATCAACCTCCTTTAAAATAAAAATAAGAAACCCCTCTTACCTGACAGCGTAAGTCATTCTGTCGGGTCTTAATGCTCTCATTATGCAGAGTTTCTGAAGTGCTGTCTTGTTTTTCCATTCCTGGGGGAATTTCTCCTTCTCTGGGCACTCGCTCTCCACAAACTTTTTCCATCGCTTGGCTGAGCCTTCGATATCTCTATCCAGGTTACGGAATTCTTCCATGTTACTCAAAGCCTTAAAAATTGCAAACAAACTTAATTTATACGTAACTGGAATAAGGTAACATTTGGAAGAAAAACTATTTTGGGTTCCAGATTGGCATGTGTCCGAGTTGTGATTAAGCAAGAAAGCACTTTGACTGTGATGGTTTTTAAATGGCGCGTGCAGCATTCGTAAACACACATAAAATCAGCCTTTTGAGAGGCAATATAATACTGAAATTGCTACCTTGATTCCTCCCCAGCAAAGGTTATTTAAGAAGTCCACCGGGCTGGTCACGTTCATGACTGCAGGGAAACGTAACAAGAAGTCCAACTCATGAGGAATGATCTCCTTTTTCATCAGAAGAACCTACACACAAAATGGATTAGAATAAAAGAAAGTTGAAACAAATATAAAGTTCAGTGCATGTGAGGGTGAATATATTAAAACTAACAATGAACAACAACTAGTAAGAGTCAAATACAGAGAAGGGAATGAATAAATGAGAAAGAAACAAAAAGTGTAGAGAGCGATAGACAAAATGAGAGAAGCTCAGTAAAACAATGGGAAGAAAATTAGGAAGAAAGTGAAATGAAAACAAGCACTGAGTAAAAAAAGGAGAAATAAATGAGTAGAAAAAGGAGAGAAATCCAAGGAAGGAAGGGAATGAAAAACAAAACGAGCAACAACAATTAAATAAATAAATAAATAAATAAATAAACAAACAAACAAACACACACACACACACACAGACCAGAATACCGAGACAAAACGAAATAATACCTGGAAAGCCACTTGAGCAGTAAAGATAAGCTTGTCTTTCTCAAACAGACCTCGTGTGGTGTAGATAAATACCGAGTATGTAATACAGTCTATCAGATTAAGAACACGAGCTTTGACCTCCTCAGCTGCTTCTGCACGTGAAATAGCAGTTTGGAAGACCACACTGAAAGCCTGTTTAAAAAAAATACAACAGAAACAATGTTAAACGCGTAGAAATTGGGACAAAATGTACCCTCAAGTTCAAGTGCAAGTTTTATCATAAATTGTATTTAGGTTTACACATGCCCACCAACCTGCAAATAGTAAGACTAATCTAGGCAAGATGAATGGTAACATTTTTACAAATGCAATCTAACTGTCAAACGAATACGAATTCAAGTACAATATAAATCTATTGATTACTTATTAGAAAACGAAAGATTTTTCCCCCCTTTGATAATATAATAATATCTTGAGACGATGTAGAGTAAAGATAATAAATAAATAAATATATAAAAAAGGAAAGTTATTATTAAGCTAATGCAAACTATTATAATCTATATGTTTTAAAATTATTTCTATAATTGGTGAAACTTATCAATCACCCGGGCCTTGCACACCAGAGGTTCTTACCTTGAGTGAAAACTGGTACATAGGGTTGATCTTGTTCAGGTCGTTGAGGATAAAGTAGAGCAAGGAGGCCCTGGCTGCTGCTGGTCTGTAGGCCTCACGTGCCTCGTTGATCTTGACCTCTGTTATCTTTGCTTCTCCTACTTGTACCTCTATCTCTGCTGCGGTTCGTTTGGTTGTCTCAAGGTTCTCTACCAGGGCGTAGTCACCTAGGAAGTTACCTCCTGCAGCTGAGAGACGCGCCAGTAGAGAATCCTCGAGTTCTTTTAGTTTTATGGTGAAGGCGTTTTGCTGCTGGGTGAGTTTAGCCTGAAGAAAAAAAATTATAAATTTCTCGCGCGGTGATTGGTTATTTTTTTATCATCAATAAGAGCGCTCTTTCCTTTGTTTTGATCACTAAAAGCGAAAAGTTTTTATCGCTACCCCTCGTGGATCCACACTACCTTGACAATGTGATGATGCAATTTATCGTCAATAAGAGGACAGACAGACASACACACACACACACGCACACACACACGCACACACACACGCACACACACACACACACACACACGCACACACACACACACACACACACGCACACACACACACACGCACACACACACACTGATGTAAATTTGTTAATTCGATTCATGTTGTAAGACCAATAAACTCAGATTAGTGTTAACGCCAAAGAACACTTCACAGTATTTTGGACTCACATAAGAAGGAATGCGCGTATAAATGGGGAACGTCTTACGCTATTACTTTGGGTATCGTAAAACAAAAATAAGTAAATTTTCCTTGTTTTACGGGGATAGCAAATAATAGCCAGTGCAGTGGATAACAAACTCGTGGCTCTCATTCCATGTTAAAATTGAAATTTAGAAAATGCCTTTTGCGCAACTCACTCACATGATGGCAAGTCCGGGGATTAAACCCATGATTCGAGCTGTGAGAGGTGGCGCATTAGCAGCGCACTGCAGACACCACCCTGCTTCCCATGTGCGAACCATACTATACCGACTTATCCTACCTTGGTCTCCTCTAGATCGGGTCTTTCCTTACGCACCACGTCAGCCAGCAACTGATCTTCCAGACCTTCTCGGGTGACGGTGAAGTTGATGAGGGTAGTCTGTGCTTGCATTTCGGGTTTGTAATGAGGATTGGCAAGTTTGGTTTGTAGAATGAGACGGAAGTCGGGATGGTACTCCACCTCTTTGTCGCCCATCTTAATGGCCCTGAAACCAAGAAAATCATTATAACGATGTGAAATACTAAGGGCGTACCACCTAATACAACGTAAATGACCTTGTTATACTTTGACTATCCTCCTAAGGAATACAGGATACAAAATAGATCGATTATTTCATATAGCCTCACCTTCCCTTCTTGATCGTGTTACGGCCAATCAGGGGATCCAAGACTGCGTCTACGTTTTCTCCCATGTTTTCGATCAACATGCAGTCACCATTAGAAACAGCTCGCTCGATGGTGTCCAGGTATCTAGAACGAAAAGTAGGACATGAAGGTGCTTCACTTATTTTTGTTGGCATTGTTTGAGATATGACTGACCGAATGATCAGTAACCGACCGACCGTTACTCGACAGCATCTTACCCTTTCTGTCCTAGCCGCACTACACGTAGGTCAGCTCCCTCGCGAGTTTTAATCCACTTGATGCCCTGTAACTGAGGATCGATCATGAGTGGCCAACGTTCACAGTTGGTCAGGATCGTGGCGTTCTCGGTAGACATTCTGTCACTCGGAAGAGCTTCGTTATTCCATTGCGCGATAGTAGCGTTGTCAGTAAGGAGGCTTAGTGGATCAAGGCCTTCAGTGATTGGAATCTTTACCTAATTTATCAACAATAAAAAAGGTTGCAGAATGATTAGTAAAATAATTCCCGTCAAGACTAGAGGAACATAATTGTTCCACAGTTGAGTATTATAACCAGAGATTCATACGCATGGATACTAGAGTTACTCTATAGTCTTACCGATTGAGAATTGAKGAACTCAAGCCACTTGTTGATGAGATTATCCCTGTATCTCCTGGTAAAGCAGCCTTGATACGACACAAACGCCGTGGTCAGCAATACATCACCAGGTAGAGTCTTTTCCTGGATCTTAAAATTCGCCACCGATTCGCCCCAACGTACATTCTCAGAAGCCAGCCCACCAACCAGCCTGTTTGCTAGTTCAATTGTCTTAGCAGTTGTTTCTGCTTCCTGCTGACATTTCAGTTTTTCTGCTGTAGCCTTCTCGAATGCGGCGGTAAGTTCGGCCAAGTTCTCATCCAGCTCGTTAATCTTGGCTTTAATCTTGGCAAGTTTGTCTTCTGCGGCGGCCAATTCAGCATTAGCGGCAGCCAGAGCCTTTCTCTTGGGTTCGACATCACAGAAGATTCGATAGAATTGAACAATGTTGATGACCCAAGCGCAAAGACCACCGGCGGCTAGAGATTTGGTCTTGATAAAATCAGCGCTGAATTCTGGATCGTCAAGGTATGGTTGCACTGCTTTGAGGTTGTTATCGTGGATGTTTTCTTTGTCATAGTTGATCAGTTGATCCAAGAACTGATCGACCTGTGCGCCATCAGATAAGACACAAGAGAGAATTACTATCTAATGATACTTCCTCAAACTGAATGTCCTAATAGTCGGTATCAACAGGGCCTCTGACTCTGAATTGAGTGCGCAAGCAAAATTAAGGGAATGCACAAATGGGTAATAGGTAATAGGACTATATGTCTGTCCAATTTAGAAATAATTGGATGAAAAAAATTCTGAGGACTGACAAAATTGGAAGAGGCCGATGGCCGAGGTTTCGGTTTTACAGTAGTAATTATTGGGAAGAAAATTTCAAGACCACTGGCGCAACTAGCTTAGTGTTTGTTTGTTGAAGTGTGTCTGCTTAATAGAAGGTCCGCTTAATAGAAGTATCACTATACATTTTGTAACCGCTAAAACCAGGTTCTAGCTTTAGTCATTTGCTTTGTGCATTGAAATTGGATACCTGCGCACTACAGTAAACTGCCCTAATCCTTTGATCTACCTACCTTGGCCATCATGATTTTAGCATTTTTCCAGCTACGGTCTTTTGGGATTTTAGAAGATGGAGCAAGGAGGACCATTACAGCTGATGTGACGTTAACTACAGCACCTGGTGGCGATCCGAAGGACTTCAGTTCTGTTAAGTTGTTTTTGTTCAGGGTGTTTAAAGCTTCTTGAGCCGCAAGCAAAGCTGGTTCAGCCTTGGCTAAGTCTTCTTCGCAGGATCTTTGCTTCTCAGATACATCTTTTGCAATAACCTAGAACCAGTAATAATCAATGCTTATCAGTATAATGTGTACTACAGCAATAAAAGATAGAGTAAATTCCTTGAAACGTTCACATTTTTAAACACTCTCACGTTCGAAGACCAAAGGAAACTTTTTGTAAGAACTTGCAAAACATCTTTCTATCTTTCTCCCACCCAC